AGGGGGGGGGGGGGGGGGGGGTTGTTGTTGTTGTTGGCCGACTGCCAGAGAAATCATACATGAAAACCAGCTTCTTCCTGGACCCATGGAACTATCAAAATGACCTCTGCTTGGTTCTGGATGATCTTGACCACTAGGAGTAGCAGTTTCTTTAGGAGGCTTGCTGTCTGGGCCTTCACACACCCTAGGACCCACAGCAGTATGTCCTCCACTCCTGCAGCCTGTAGTAATCACTGGTGGCCCGATGCTTCCCCGACATTCTCCACCAACCCCTTTTGGCAACCAGAGCCTGGAACAAGCCAGCACATGGAACATGGACACCTGTGCTTAAAAATCGACTGGGTGGATATGCACATAAGGCACACTAGAAGTGTATCAATATCTGGGGCCAAAATGGAGCCAGTGCCTTATTGGTCCGCCTTGGTCTATCTACCATACAGGGGTCCTGCAGAAAAAATGAGAGAAGAAACTCCCAGGAGGACCAATAACTACCAGTGCCCTTACAGCATCAGAATGAAGAGGTCAAAAAAACATTGGGCCATCGTAGTTGCCTGCAGCATTTGAGCGGCAAGGTCCACCACATGTCTTAAGGGAAAAAGTCCTCAGGTAAGCAACTCAATCAGGAACATAAGCATACTAGGACTTCATCACCTGAAGGGGGCCTGACAACCACAATTATCTGAGCCAGGGGAAACAAAAACATGATGGTCAACACAAAACTACTGAGGATGGGAGGGAGGGAGAGGGCTTTTAAATCTCTTTCTGCTTTGTGTTTCCTGTTGAGGGCAAAGGCAATCATCTCTCAAGTAACTGTCCTGGAAAATGATTTGGGAAGGTTCTTTCCACTAGCCTAAAGTGACAAATCCCTTTGTTCTAGGGCCTAATTTCATTGACGGGAGCAACCCTCCCTCCTGCAACAATCCACTGCTATATAGGAGATTATGTAGAGCTGAGGCTGCAGCATTACTAGGCACTTGTTTGCTTTCTCCAGTATGGCCTCAGAGCCTGACTAATTTCATCCAGTTACCAAGACTGATTTGAATCGCAAAGCTAAAAGCCAAACAACTTCAGCATTGTGTTGGCAACCCGAAACAGCTAACAGGCAAAGAACTTTGGGAGGGAATTTTTCACCCTGAACATTTGAGTATTCTCACTTTAAATCCCCTTTAAGGTGGGCTGGCCAATATCCAGGAAGTGGGCCAATGTGTTTAAAGATGAATAGATGCTGCCTAATGTTTGAGTTTTTCCCATTACGGTTAATGGAAGAAGTATTGTCTAGCTCATAACACCTTCTGGCTTCTAGATTTGTCTGGTTTATGAAATCTTTTTAACTTCAAAACACCAACATCTGCTATAGTTGTCTTCAGGAAAGCCAAAACATGGTTCTGCAACTACCAATTTCCCCTCTCAGCTCATAGACTGATTTTTACCCTGCTACCAAGCATCCATTTGTAAGAAGCCCACAATCCTTCTGCGCTTGGCTGGATGTGTAAAACAAATATAACTTAGCTACACACCTATTCTGCTGCTGCCGAGCAGACCTAAAACTGCATACTTTGGCTGTCCCAGCTATTAAAACCTCTGCCCACTGATTGATGTAAGGAGTCTTGGTAGGTGTATGCCACATAGACAGTGCAGTTGTTCATGTCTTTTCCCAAATTCCAGCCACAAAAAAACACTTATGCATGGCTGTGCAATTACTTAGCTGCAAGGGCTGCTAGGAAAAGCAGTCCGCTCACAATAAGAAGCCTTTCAACTGTTTCTAAAATGTTGTCATAGGTTGGCATTTTTTTTAATTTTCAAAAGCCGTTTATTAGTTTTATTAACTTTTTCTGTTTAATTCATTTTAATTATCTACACTTAAATGTAGTAAATCTCTACACATTTCCTGGTACTACTCAATACCTATATGGATTTTTTTTTTTGTTTCAACTCAGTATTCAACTGGGCAAAGTGGGATGACATCTCTCTAAAATGGACACAGTAATAAAAACCTGATTTGGGTGTTAACACTTGCCAAGTTTGCTTACATAAAAATAAAAAATCCCAGCGTTGTGAAGGTTTCCTTTTGGGAAACCTCACTTCCAGTAACAATAACATTTGGCATGAGGGCTGGAAGTGAAGGGAAATCTCCCTAATTTGGATACAGATTAAAAATTAAAACCTGATTTTTTTTTAACATTTCTGCCCACTCTACCAAATAAAAAAACCAAACAATATAGTGTGTGTGTTATTTAATACAATTTTAGATTTCCTCCATTGACTCCATGAGAAGATGGGGACACCCTAAAGCACATGTTTAAATCTCCTTGCCCCTTCCTCGGCAGCACTTACCCTCCCTGTAGCTCCCTATTCTGCTCTCTGTTGTGCAGCTGGAAATGAAAAGAAATGACCCAATAACGAATGGCATGTCACTTAAATTATGTAACAGCACTGGACTGATCACCGTAGCCCTGTAAACTATAACTTCACCATCTCATACCACAGGGTTGTATCTGCTGAGAGGTGTGTGAAAATGACCCTTTTGCTTTGCCTAGCATTGGCAAAACACAGAAATTTTAAATCCAGAAACAGGTCATAAAACAAGGCTAAAAAAGGCAATAAAACAGAGTATAAGAATCTGCAACAACTAACAACGCGGACATTAGCTGGCCATTTTGTGCCAGAACCTTTATATAGATCACCAGTAGGACAAACTGGAGACATCATCGAGACACTGCCCGTCTAACATACAAGAAAGTTAACTTTAGATTCATGAGGTACTACTAGGCTTTAGCAAACCAACAGGTTGAATTCACACATAAAATACTTTGGCCTAAAAAAATGTTTGCCAAAACAGTGTGCATGTAATAAATCCTACATGACAACCATTCAAAATGAGGTAAATATCAGTTTTAACAGTGTTTTTTTTTTTCTGGAGAAATGATATCAATGCAAAAAATAAAACAGAAGAAAGAGATCGAAAAGGATGCTCTACAAAAAGCTTAATTCTGCTCAATGTCATATCCTCATAAGAAAAACTCCTTACCCTTTGGTTATACATACCTTAAAGATGCTTTGGTTCCAATACAAAAAGTATGTTTGTCAGATAAATAAATTTGGTTCAAAACGGCTCTAAAATTACCTTGGGTGGTAAAAAAACAAACATTATGGAGGACACATAAAATAGATTAGTATCATAGAGCCTGCCTCCATTAAAGATAACTCATTTAAATTCAGGGAGACAGATCTCAAAGAACTGAGAAATACAGACCTTTTATCAAGCTAGTCCAAAGACCAATAAAACACCAGCATCTGCACACTGTGCCCCAAATTTGTTGGCTAAGGAACCACTTGTCTACAACTACAGGCCATTGATTGTGGCTTAAACCAAACTTCGAGACTTTGCTATCATTTCACTAACCACCAATGACTTCACTGGGTTCCTTCCTAACTAAAGTTCTGATGAGGCAGTAGTTCCTTGTAGCAAATACATGCACATTGGCTCTGTCACAAAATGGCTTACGTAAAAATCTGATTTTGAATAAAGTCTTCTGAAGTTTTTTTTTTTCTTAGGAAATATATGTGAATGTGACTGTCATATTCATACAATTATATACTAATGTCCTAATGTGTAAAACAAAACTTGCTTCTCTTTTTTAATGTAAAAAAATATATATGTAATTGGGGGCAGCCATGTTTGTACAATGCATACACAGGGCTCAACAGTGCTTGTCTATTATGTTCATTTATATAAATATAAAACAGCAAGTAGGTGGAAGTTATGGTCCACAATTATTTTCAGGCAAATTTACAATAATGTGTATTTGTCAAAATGCTCTAGGAGTTTTCTTTTAAAAACTGTGAAATTAAGCATGTCAAAATCCCTTTTTGGCGTTAAAGTAATTTTGGGGACACAGATTTATAACGAGCTTCTGTTATCATCGCCTCCAACATGTTTATATATGAAAACATATATATTCACAAGGTAATCTTAAGAAAACTGGGATTTGAGTCAACAAAAAACATATATACAATAACAAACCTCTCAAATAGACTGTATTATAAATCAATTGTTACAATGTTAAAAAAAAAAAAAAAAAAAAGAATAAAAGGCCCATCATAAACTTAATAAGTGACATCAACATTAACCTCCAAACACCAAAAGATGCCAAGTCCCCACCTAAGTGTGCATGGCTCACTGTGCTGCAAAACCAGTCGTGCTACAGATACGATGAAGGACATCATATTGTGCCAGAAGCTGCATGTACATTCATGGTCACTGCCTGTATTTCTCAATAGTTACGTTCTTTCCCATTCATAAATTAGCAACAACAAGAACATTTATGTGCTTCAGATAAAACAAATTTTTAACACCAAACCAATAAGATGAGTTAGGACAGTCGAGTTAACATACAGTAGTCTACAGAATGAATCATCTATTATAAAAAATAAAAAACTTAGAATTTTCCATCAGACTTTATACTTATTGTAGTCCTAAAAGATTCTTCAAACAACGAAAAAAATGGGATCAGAGATAAAAGTAAAAAAATAACTGCAGATAAAACACTGTATTTAAATCCTAAACCGTTATCTTGAGCCAACCTGCCTCCCCTAAATTTTTTCCTCCCCAATAAAATATGTTTGTGTTTTGTATGATGTCTTACCACGTTAGTTAAGGTCCTGCTAATACCCTGAAATAAATACTTATTCGATGTAGAGAAAAAGTCTTTTGTGTAGAAATTAATTTCAAGTGACTTTGGAAGTCAGCTGCCTGTAGCGTTTAGAAAGGTCACCATTGTTTGCCTCTTAACACGTTCACCAAAAGTCCAAAAACATTCCTTGTTCCGTCTCTTTATAGTATAAAAAAAAAAACAAACAGAAACAAAAAGCACTTGGTTCCTAGCGTTTCCACTTTTTGAGGTCCACAGTGTTTTAATGTGAGTTCCTTAGTCATCCACTTTTTATATTTTGGAACAGTGTTTTGTTTAACAGAAGTGTTTTATTCCCAGATTATGTTTTTAAAGCATATTAGATTTAAGAAACATGACTTTATTTAGGTCTTCTGGGCTAAGAAGTCTTCGTTTTTTAATAAGCATGGTCTGCTCACACATATTTACACACTCGCTTCGTGCTCCGACAGCTGGAACGGCCAACAACCAGAAGGCGAGCTTGGAAAGTCTTGTGTGTTTTTGGGTTACAGATGACCAAAAATGGAAAAGGTCAGGGGTCACTTGAAAAAGGGGCTCCTGTAAATAGTCATAGACTTCATTCTTCCCCATTCGGTCATCATCCTGAACTTTGGTTGACTCTGAAGATTGTCTAGCTTTTTTAGGAGGAACCACGAACTCTGTCTCTTCTACTCCATCCCTGACCTCATTAATTAATTCACAGACTTTAGTAATGATTTCCTCGTGTTGGTAAGGAGGGACAGGCCGCAGTTTCTGTTGAGGGTCCAGAATCATGGCAACTTTGTGTGCAGACTCAACCTTGAAGTTCTCCTTTAAAGCTTCGAGAAAGAGGTGGCACAGTTTGCTTATGACCCCTGCGTCATTTGCTTTTGAGGTGAAGAGCTTCTCCAACTTAACATAGGTAGGCAGCACAAGCTGTAGGGTTGGTTTACGCTCGTTGCTAAGGTCAATGACAGCTTGTTTCACAGGGGCCAGTATGGCGGCTAAATTGCTCAGTAGATGCTTGTTCAGGTTTTGGATAATGTTCAACTTTTTTGCCCGGCTATAAAATTCACAGATTTGCTCATACCGCTCATGAACGAGCAACAGGGAGTCCGTCACAGAATTCCAACAGGGAGGGGGGGAGCTTTCCTCAAGGGAGCCAAATGTTTCTTTAACTATACCAGCAGTTCCAGCCAGCTCTTCTGTGACATTCAAAAGCTCTATGACCTCGTGCATATTGCGGGCCTGCAAGGTGCGTTTGTTTAACACACTTTGTACCACAGAGTTTAAAGAACATGCAGAGCAACGTAGGCAAGTCCCAACCTTGGAGAAAGCTGAAGAATTTACTTTGCAGTCTGTGACATAAACAGTCCTGATTTCTGACATGACAAACTCGGAGAGTACATTCTGTACCCACTGATGGATAAATTCTCCACTGTCTCTATTGTCTGTGTCTTTAATTCCCAAGACATAACGTTTTATCTGATGCCCTTCTGCTTGATATGCAGTGAGCACATAGCAAGAGTCAGAACCAACGCTCTGTGAGTGGCAAGTCACCCCAATCCCTAAGCAGACGTTCCCCCCTAGGGCACAGGTCACTTTTACTTTCACTTGGTTGTACATTCGTGGTAAATGTTTCATGGCCAGGCTGTTCATATTTCCCAGGATTTCATTTATAGAAAATGCTCCATAGCGAGCTCCAGTGTCAACGAGTGTTTGTGCCAGCTTGAAGAAGTCTTTCCCGTTGAGAACGCTCAAGGCTCCAAGATCAGCACACATTACTCTCAGAAGCCGCTCAGCAATATTCTGACGCTCCTTTTCAGGAAGCGAATTGTTGATAGGTGTCACAGGCGTAATTACAGGAGGTGTTACTGTTGTTGCTTCTGCAGGTGAAATGGCGAAAAACAAACATATTACGAAAAGAAAATTAATTTATTTTTTAACCAAATCAGTGAGCTTCTAATGCTATCTAATAAACAATGCAAATATATACAAATTCAGAAAGTTCACTCAGGTTACATTATTCTGAGTTTTGTTTAAACACTTGATTTAAACAGAGTCCAGAGAGCACTTCACAGTTTACTGGATTTGTACGTCCCGAAGCCTTTGCAGCTTCCTATATCACCAAAGTCAGGTTTGCATCGAATTAGTGGCTGCGGGAAACATCTTGGTACTAAGAAGCAGGGACTTTCAGAGCAGCAGATAAATGGAAGTGGGATGGACCCATGAACTACAGCAGTGGTCTTCAAACTGTGGCCCTGGGGCCAGGTGCGGGCCTTTGCTTGCTTTAATCTGGCCCTTGGGGCACCATTACATCCACTGATACCAACAATAAGGCATAATTCCCCTCACTGACAGCAATGATGAGGCACAATTCCTCCCAATGATACCAACAATGGAGCACAGTTTCTCCTAGTGACTCCAACAAGGAAGGGGGGCCCAATGACACCATAGAAGGGACACAATTCCTCCCGCTGACACCAATGATGGGGCACAGTTCCTCCCACTAACACCAAAGAAGGTGCATTGTTTTTTTTCCCCACTGACACCAGGACCTTTTCTACTCCCAAAGGCCACAGTCTAGCCACCCTAAAGTGTTAAGGACAGTAAACTGTCCCTTTGTTTAGAAAGTTTGGAGGCCTCTGCACTACAGTAATCCCAAAATGAGAAACTGTAGCAGGGATCTGGCAAAATATATATCTCAAGGTTTCCATTTTAACCTACAAATGTATCCAAAAATGTCCTTGAACGTATTGAGAGTTAAAACGTAAAGGGTCAGCTTCCTGGCTCCATCTTAGCTCTACCTTTTGCTATTTCTGTTTCCTGATTATATTAGTAAAGGTGGTACCAACATGTTTATTCAGTTATCCCCTTAACTCTTTTAACATTTAAGGGCTCATGCATACTGGGCATTTAGCTTTGGCTGGAGGGCACAGGCGCACTGTCTAGCCTTTCTGCCGCCAACCTGTCATACTCTATAAGAGTTTAAACAGCTGCTGTGGCTGGACGGAGCTGGTAGGTGCACTCAGCGGAACTTCTGTTTAGAGACAAATGCCTCGAATGCAGATTGCTTGTGTTCTGGGCATTCATTCCTAGGCGCATACTGCCCTAAATGTACATACCATTAGGTGCATTGCCCTGCCCCGTCAAGCCTCAACAGCTGTCAGACTCTTACAAAGTTTGACAAGCTGTTGGCAGCAGGGTTGGATGAAAAACCTGTGCCCTCCAGCTTCAGCTAAATTGGCACTGGGTATTTAACCGTGATGCATGAAGCTTAAATGACAAAGGGGAATCTTCCAGCAGATGTCATGTTTTTTACTTACTCTGATTCCTTTTGTCTGTATTTCCTTGCATGGTGGTTGGCAGGCAGCCTGAACTTAGCACATCACAGATTACAGTCTTTGACAGAACTGCCTCCCCCTGTTCCTCAAGAACTAAAACAAAGAAAAAGAAAAGAAAAAAAGAAAACCAATAAAAATAAACTTTCCATGGTTTTTGTTGTATCTCCAAGACAGGAAGTGAAGGAAAACAGAAAAAAAAAAAAAAAATCTACTATCTCCAAAACTAAAAAAATTGCTATAGACATACCTTCAGATATCTAAATAAAATCTATTAATAATTTTGCTTTAGTTTATTAAGCTCAGGAAAATGTTAATATTAATAAATATTCCTGACCTCCTAAACTAAGCAAAGTAATTTAAATGAGGTCACTAGCCATTGTGCACAGTGAGTCTGATAAGCAAAGAGTGCACATTACCGTGCTCACATCAGTGTATGCTTTCACAAATGCACATGTGTATTATAAAGTGTAAACAAGCTAGCATAGCCCTATCCTCCTTGCATTTGAATCCACAGCAAATTATGCCATGGGTCTGGTCATTAAGGCACCTTGAGACATACTGTTGTTTGCGCTGTTTCTTTGGGGTTGAGGCTTCCAGTTTTCCTCTGCTGGCGGTAGTGACCTGGACTGGTTGGTTGCGATACTGTTTTCGTCAGCTGAGAAAGAAGAAACAAGAGAGTTGGAATCTATAATTGATACAGACTTTGGGCAATATTCATATTGTCACAAGCATCAGGCAAAAATATTGGCAGAAAAGACCAGAGATTGGATCTTCCTCCAAAGACATTTTTGGTTAATAAGTACAAGTGTTAGAGGTCCAACGACCATTTCTTCCACAAGCCAGGCACTTGGAAGTTCTATTCTACCACTCTCAGCCAGGTGGACTGCTCACTCATCATCTCACTTAAACAAGAAGATAGCAGGTTCAGCATCACAGATGGAGCTACATACAGCCTGGGAGCATGAAAATGGCAACTACCATATTTAAATTATCTCAAGGTGATTTTGTTTTACAACAAATTTAATTTAAAAGGGAACGGAACAATTCAGTGTATAGAATACAAGCAACAAACATCTGGTCTTCATGGGTCCCTCCACTCATATGATGGGCAGGGGACATCAAAGATTGTACATACCTATCTTTCTTATTTCCCAATATTGGCCTTTGTCTGCCAGCCATACAGAATGTTGCAAAAAAGCAACACATTTTTTGTACTCTTTTCCATGCTTCCATTTAATTGGTTTTTATTTTTGTTTAAATGTAACAGAGGACAGACTGAGCACAAATGGCCACATGCAGGTGCCCTAAGCTAATTTGGAGCCATACACAAAACCAGTTCTAACCACCATAAAACACACCTATACTGTATAAACACAAAAAAAGCTTTATTGACAAGTAAAACGACAGTGAATCGGGAGTTCTTCTCACCGGCATGTGACTGCATGTGCTCCAGGAGGTTGTTGTAAAACTGGAACTGAATCCCGCAAGCCCCACAAGTGTACGGCTCTGTGAGAAAACAATTTGGGGTTTCAAAAAGAGTTCTCACAATTCAATCGGCTTTATCAATGTATCACAGAGGACAGCTATGTTATATTTAAACACCGTGGGAAAGCCCCTTGAAACTCCCTTGTTTCTCTGAAGACTACAGGATGTCCAAGACATTCTGGAGTCTTCTGGAGACGTGAAAATAGCACAAAGGTTGTAATGGACTATCTACATATAGCTAACCACATGATGCAATGAAGCATCACTCAAATGCCTGGAACTCTGCAAAATATATGTACATTATATAGAATGTATATTTTATAAATACATCTGGATAGTCTAATGTTTCCTGGACAGGTTATAAAAAGAGCAACAAATTTGATTCTCCCAAACATATCTACATCCACTTACTATGGACTGACTCTCTACTTCTGCTGGAAGTCTGCTCCAAGAGTCAAATACTCTTTCAGTAAAAATAATGCTTTCTAAATTTAGTTTGGAATTTTCCTCTGGCTTGTTTGAGGTGATGTTCTCTGAAACTGAAAATGCTGTCCAGCTGAACTTTATTCCACCCTTCATGTATTCTGTGGTTTCAAACATGTACTCTGACTCTGTAGACACAATCGTGCTCAAAAGTTTGCATTCCCTTGGAGAACTGGTAATATACAGTATGTACCATTTTTAAAGATGATGTGTGAGCAGGCAAAACACATTTCTTTTATTTCTTATGGGATCCCCATTCAGCTGTAGGGCATACCAGAATGGCACAATAATAAAACTAATTATGGCAACAAATAAACAAATGAAATGACCCCTATTCAAATGTCTGCATACCCTTAGTTCTTTACCGTGTATTGCCCCCTTTAGCATCAATGACAGTGTGCAGTCTTTTGTAATAGTTGTCTATGAGGCCCAAAATTCTTGCAGGTGGTATAGTTTCTCGTCTTGGCAAAATGCCTCAAGGTCACGTATAGTCTTTGGTCATCTTGCATGAACCACATGTTTGAGATCTCCTCAGAGTGGCTTGATGATATTAAGGTCAGGAGCTGTGATGCCCACTCCAGAACCTTCACCTTTTTCTGCTGTAACCACTGAAGGGTCAACTTAGCCTTGTGCTTAGGGTCATTGAAGTGCTGGAAAGTCCAAGAGTGCCCCATTCGCAGCTTTTGCAAACTTTCTGCCTGTATTTTCTGATAATATACTATGTAATAACATCTTGACATCTTTTCATAAAATTCCCTGTGCTTTTAGAGCTCACCCCCCCAAAAAACATCAGTGAGACACCACCATGCTTTACAGTACGATGGTATTCTTGTTATGGTTGATCCCTCTTCAAACACAGCGCTTATGGTTGTGACCATAAAGCTTTATTTTGGTCTCGTCACACCAGATTTCTGTGTGCCAGAAGATGTGAGGTGTGTCAAGGTGTTGTCCGGCATAGTGTAGCAGAGTTTTTTTGCAACTCGACCATGCAGCTAATTTATGTTCAAGTATCTTTGTATTGTACTCCTTGAAACAACCACTCTGTCTTTTCCCAGAGCAGCCTGTATTTCTGCTGAGGTTACCTGTGGGTTTTTCATTGTATCCCAAACAATTCTTCTGGCAGTTGTGGCTGCAATCTTTCTTGGTCTACCTGACCTTGGCTTGGTATCAAGACATCTCAGAATTTTCCATTTAATAAGTGGTTTAACAGTACTGACTGGCATATTCAAGGCTTTGGATATCTTTTTATATACTTTTCCATCTTTATAAAGTTTCATCACATTGTTACACAGGTCTTTTGACAGATCTTTTCTGCTCCGCATGGCTCAGTATCCAGCCTGTTCAGTGCATCCATGTGAAAGCTAACAAACTCACTGACTATACAAAGACACTATTTGAAATATAAAAAGCCACAGATGTGGGAACCTTTAATTGCCATTTTAACCTGCGTGTGTCACCTTATGTCTGTACCAAGGTCAAACATTCCAGGGTATGTAAAATATTGATCAGGGCCATTTGGCCATATCCTTAAATAAAAGGCAGTTTTTTGGCATGATCAATCATATTTTCAATATCAGTTCCAAAATTTTAAGATTTCTGCCAGGGTATGCAAGCTTTTGACCACAACTGTATCAAAGCGACTCTGTCACCTGACAATTCATTTCTTTCCAGATTTTGTGTGAGTTTAGCATATTTTATCAATGTTATTTACCAGTAATAGCCTCTGTCATGTAGCTACCTACAAGCCCCAGACTGTTGCTGGGTGCCATCTTGAATGCAATGAAAACTCAAAATTTCAGAGATGTGATGAATACTCACTCAAGTGAAGCTCTATGATATTCCCCTTCATTCCTCCCCCCCTCAGCCTCATCAATACAGAGCTGAAGGGAGGGGCGGAGGAGCTGGACCAGAACAGAAAAGAAGGGGCTATGGAAGGATGGAGAGGCTGTGCTAGGGAATTTACTCCTACAGTTGTCAAATTTTCTAGCAAGTTCAAAGGCACATCAAAAGAGGATAAAGATCTATTGTGGAAAAACACAATGCAAGTAAGCATTTTAAATACTTTATTCTTCAGTGCTTTTACCTTCCTCTAAGTCAGCTATAGGGTATCTACGTTCCTCCTAGCTCACCATTTTTGGAGTCCATCTCTGGACTTGTACCTCACTAAAATCATTTTGTATGTGAAGCCTCCAGAACTGGACACTGCATTCTACATAAGATCTAACTAAAGTTTTATATACTAAAATAAGGACCTCTTCCTATTGCTGGTGGTGCACCCCAGAACTCTATTAGATTTCCCCGCTGCCTGGCCACACTGTTGGCTAATTCTGCAATCTGAAATAAGCATGCCCAAACCTTTTTCTTCTGTAGTTCTGACCAACACTGTACCCCCAAAATTGCACTCTGTGAGAGGATTATTTTTCCCGAAGTGCATTGTTTTGCATTTTGAATCACTGAACCAGATTCAACTGCTTTGACCAATCTTCCTTTTTATAAAGGACATTCGGGGAATAACAAATCTTATTTATAAAAGACATCCAGGGAAGCCTCATAATCTGCTTTCTCCCTCATCCTTGTAGAAGATAGGGATCTCTAGAAAATTTTCTTTTGTATTTTCCTTCCTGTGTTTGAAAATGTCTCCAGCAGCCATCATGAGCTAGAAACTGTGCACTGCCAGAAAGCTGAGGAACACAGTAGAGCTCTTTGAAAACTTGTTTTATTTGCCTAAATATGACTATGGTATGTCAAAATTGCACTCATTTTATAAATAAAATATCTTGTTTTCCAATGCAAAAAATCCTCTGATCTGGCCATAACTCACAGAAGGCATCTAATATCATAAAACATCATTTCCAGTTCTGGTATTAACAGAACGTTTACATGTTCCGTGCTTAACAACGCTTGCTCTCCAAATGAGAGTGAAGGGTCAGTATATTATTATGTGCTATAATGCTTGTTTAGGTGTTCTGTAATTGCAAAATTGTAATTGCAGTGGGTTTACAATTCCCTATAAATTATATAAACATTTGCCCTGGTCAGTACTCCTCACTTGGCTTCTGTTTTTAAAAAATGGCAGGTGAATATTCCTGCACTCAGAGGGGAGGATTGGGAGGTGTATCTACAACAATACCTGACAATTTTGGTTGCACCCAAAGATAGATTTATTCAACTTAAAGTGTAAGTTCACATTTACAGAATATCTGTAAGGTGACCCAACACTGGACACCCTTTCCATTCGCCCCCGGTCCTGTTGTACTGGAGTCCCACTATCCTCCGCTATCAGACACGAGCATACCGCTTAACTGGTCTGGGTATTTGAAATCCATGCAGTTTTATCTCCTCTCTATACTGCTTAGCCAGTACAGACCAGAGGGATTTTAGTTGGTCAGCACCGTTACATGGACAGCGCTGACCAATCAGAGTCCATCTAGCCTGTCCTGTCAGCACTGCATGGAGAGGCATGGGGATTTCAAGTGAAGAGGCATGCTGGTGTCTAGCAAAGGATCATAGGATTTCAGGACAGCGGAAACGAGGGGGGGGGGGGGGGGTCCAGTGTTAGGTCACCTCACAGATATTTTGTAAAGGTGAACACTTTAAGTTTCTGTATCCGGCGTACTATACGCCACAGAGGTTATCTACTATCTACTCACTCCTCGACCTCCCGTGATTCCCAAATGGAAACCTACCGCGTCTTTTGGACATGTCTCACTGAATTCACAACATTAATAACCTCTTTCCAGAAGTCCTGCAATTTGGGACACGTTACTCTGCCAACTGATCCTCTTTATCTTTCTTTTGGGCAATACTGATAATCTTGACACTTTTTGCTAAAAGAGTTTGTCCATTTTTCATAATGCCTTCTATGGTTTGAGAGAAATTCTGTTGAAATGGAAATCATAGTCCACTTGTTCAGTGTCGGGGTGGTGGACGGCAGGTATCGAGGTACTCCTTTTGTATAAATTACTTATGGCAGCATTGCCCAAAGAAATATGATAAGACCTGGACTAGATGGGTTGATGCCCATTGTTTGACCATATAACAGAGTATTACTCCCTATTGCCACTCATAGTTGAGGTGTGGCATTCCACATACTCTGCGTGCCCCGTGTGCTTTATTGGTGTTAAGTACTTAATAGCATGCACTGAACATACCTCTGATTTTTTTTCCCCTCCCCCTTTGCCCATTTCAAGGCACCCCCAGCCCAACTCTCACCAAAAATTTAGATGTATTTTTTTAGGACCTTCAGAGTTAATGTTTCAGCCAAGTCAGGAAGTGATGGGAAATCTGTCCAACACCAAACAGATACAAAAAACCTTTAGTAGAGCGAGGAAGAGTTAGAACTTCATATTTTTTTTATTGCTGTTCTGGTGACATCCCAATTTTGTCTACAAGCTTCACTAGGACAGGAAGTAATGGAAAATCTCCATAATGGGATTTTTTACTCTTTCCCACTGTGCCGAAACAAAAGAATGGTTA